AGAGAACTACACAACTCACCTAAATATTACAATGATTGTAACTTTATTTATAAGTTAAAACTAGGGTTACTAGAATAAGATAAAATACTAAAATACCCTCTAACAAACTTAGGGGCTAAGTAATAGTACAACTAAATATGAATTACTTCTAATACCATCCCTTAATTCATATTCCATCAAAACTTGTAACACCAATTCCATCCCTTAGTCTGAGAAATTGATCAGTCTTGATAGCTTTCGTCAGAGCATCTGCCAACTGTTTCTGAGTGCTGCAGTGTACAACTTCTAACATTCCACTCTGAACTTGATGTCTCAGAAAATGATACTTGGTCTCAATATGCTTGCTTCTCCCATGCAACACTGGGTTTTTGGCAAGATTGATTGCAGACTTGTTGTCAATCATCAGCTTCAGAGGTTTGTTTATTTTAATCTTCAGATCCTGCAACAGATTCAGAATCCACACAGCTTGGCATGCAGTAACAACACCTGCAATGTATTCAGCTTCACAGGTTGATAACGCCACAACAGGTTGCTTCTTGGAACACCAAGAAATGGGACCTCCCATAAATTTGAACAAGTACCCAGAGGTACTTCTTCTATCAACTCTGTCTCCACACCAATCAGAATCTGAATAACTCAGAAGTTCTGACTCATTCTTTCTTCCAGAAGGAAATAACACTCCATACTTCAAAGTTCCCTTGATATACCTCAGAATCCTGACAGCAGCTTGGTAATGGGACCACTTAGTTTTACTCATGAACCTACTAACCATCCCAACAGAATAGCAAATATCAGGTCTGGTATTGCACAGATACCTCAGAGAACCAACCAACTGTTTGAAGGTTGTAGTGTCCACATCCTTTCCATCAGAGTCAGAATCCAGTTTCTGATTTGTATCAAAAGGTGTGACAACAATCTTACAATTCTTCAGTTCAAATCTCTTCAGAAGTTCTAGTTTATACTTGAGTTGATGCAAAATGATACCTTTCTCAGAATATCTGAACTCCATCCCTAGAAAGTATGTCATTTTTCCTAGATCAGTCATTTCAAATTCATTCATCAGAACTTTCTTGAACTTGGCTATCTCCTATTCAGAACTTCCAGTCAGCAGTATGTCATCAACATATAAACACACCAGAGTCATATTTCCTTCAGAAGTATGCTGGACATAAACATCGTACTCCATCTCACATTTCTGAAAGCCTTGCTTCTTGAAAAATGAATCAATCTTCTGATTCCAAGCTCTGGGCGCTTGTTTCAATCCATATAGAGCTTTATATAATCTGTACACCATCCCTTCCTGATTCTTTTTCATAAATCCAGGAGGTTGTGACACGTAAACTTCTTCTTCTAATGGACCATTCAGAAATGCATATTTTACATCTAAATGCATCAGAGGACAATTCCTGTTAGCAGCTATTGCAATCACCATTCTGATTGTTTCATGTCTTGCTACAGGTGCAAACACTTCAGAATAATCCAGCCCAGGTTTCTGTAGAAATCCTCTGGCTACCAACCTTGCTTTATGTTTGCCAATTGAACCATTTGGCTTTAACTTCTGCTTGAAAACCCATCTGACGCTAATGGCTTTCTTGTCTTTTGGAAGTTCTGTCATCTTCCAAGTCTTGTTTCTCTCTATAACATCAAGTTCTTCTTTCATGGCCTTCAGCCAGAGCTTCTGCTTAAGAGCCTCTTCTATACTTATGGGTTCAGAGTCTACTATCATGGCACACTAAATAACTTCTCCTTCAGAGTCTACTTCATTGTCTTGCAGCATGTCGAATTCTGCATATCTTCTGGGGACGTTTCTTATTTTTTATGGTCTCTGAACTTGTTCAGAGTCTTGAGCTTCAGAGTTTCTAGCTTCAGATGATTGACTTCCTCTAGAGCTTTGACCATCTTCAGAGTCTGGTATATTTCTAGAGTCTGAATTGCCACCAGAATCTGGATTGCCATCAGAGTCTGGATCATCAGAGTCTGGATCATCAAATTCACCTTCATCTTCTAAGTCTTCTCCAGAGTCTGAATACTATTAGAGTCAGAGTCAATGTTAGAGTTTACTCCAACTTCAGAAATTCTTAACTCTGACCTTTCTTCAGAAGTTCTAACATCAGAATCAAATTGAGACTTATCCCAATTCCAAACTTCTGATTCCTTCACAATCACATCTCTGCTGAATTCAATTTTATTGGTTTCTGGACAATAGAGCTTGTATGCACCTGTACTGTGGTACCCTATCAGAATCATCACTTTGCTTCTATCATCCAGCTTCTGTCTTCTGGCTTCTGGAACGTGTTTATAGCAAACAGAACCAAACACCTTCAGATGACTAACACTTTTCTTATCTCCAGTCCACTTCTGTATTGGAACTATTTCCTTCAACTTCTTCGTAGGACATCGGTTGAGTACATACGTTGCAGTGGCAACAGCTTCTCCCTAGAGCTTCTAAGGAAGCTTCTTTTCCTTTAGCATGCTTCTCACCATATCAAGCAAAGTGCGGTTTCTTCTTTCAGCAAGACCATTGTGTTGAGGGGTATAAGGAGAAGTAACCTCATGCTCAATTCCATTCTCCTCACAGAACTTTTGGAACTCTTTAGAGTTATACTCACCTCCACCGTCAGTTCTAAGAATCTTCAACTTCTGACCACTCTGATTCTCAACCTTCATTCTGAACTTCTTGAATTCATCAAACACCTCGTGTTTAAACTTAATAAGGGATACCCATGTCATTATTGTGAATTCATCAACAAACAACACAAAGTATTTATTCCCTCCAATCGATGCTACTAGAAATGGACCACACACATCAGAATGTACAACTCCCAAGGCATGTTTTGCTCTTGGAGCAACTTCTGACGCAAATGGAAATCATGGTTGTTTTCCTTCCATGCAACCTTTGCATGACTTTTCAGGCTTCTTAATTGCAGGAATTCCATGTACCAACTTCTTTGAATTCAGATGTTTTAAGCTTCTGAAATTCAAATGACTGAATCTTCTGTGCCACAACTCACTCTCCTTCTCAGCACTTGTTGCACTAAGACATTCTGAGTCTGCAGTTCTGACATTCACCTTGAATTTTCTATTCCTTCCCTGTTCTGACTCCATAATCAACTTCTGATTGCAGTCATACAGCTTCAGAAGATTGTCCTTCATGGTAACTGAAAAACCTTTCTCAATTAATTGTCCCACACTCATTAGATTGCTTCTGATGCCAGGTACATACCACACGTTTTGAATCAATGTTGTTTTCCCATTATTCATAATCACTCTAACATTTCCCATACCTTCTGCGTTAAGATATTTGTCATAAGCACATCTGATCTTTGTTCTCTTTTCAGAGTCAAAGTCAACCAGCCATTTCTTGTTTCCAGTAAGATGATTTGAACAGCCAGTGTCCATATACCACCAGTCTATCAGATCCATATCATCAGATTCAGAGGCTATCAATAGCACAGATTCGTCATCAGAACTTTTGGCTTTATTTGCTTCTTCTGATTTTCTATCCTTGTTTGACCAATAATCTCTAGCAAAGTGACCAAACTTCTTACAACAATAACATTGAATTTTCTTCTTGTCATACTTCTCTTTTCCCTTCTGAGCATTCTTTTGTCTATCAGAGGTTAAGCTTTCTGACTTCTGACCACCATCAGATCTTCTCCTGGCTTCTAACTGTTTCTGATACCTCCTATCAGAAGTTACTTTTAGAGCCTGCTGCTCTACTTCCTTTTCAGAAGTTGTCTCAGTCAAAAGCAACTCTTGTGCTTCTAGACTGCTCTGCAGCTCTTCAATTCTCATGGTGCTCAGATCTTTGGAATGTTCTATTGCTACCACAATGTAATTAAATTGAGAGGTAAGGGATCTCAATACTTTCTCCATGATTGCTTCTTCAGAAAGAGTTTCTCCACACGCCTTCATCTCATTAGTGATCAGAATCATTCTGGAGATGTATTCAGAGACTTTCTCATTATTCTTCATGTTGAGATTCTCATATTGCTTTCTCAAGGACTGAAGCTTCACCTTCTTCACTGATGCGTCACCACCATAACATCTCACCAGTGTGTCCCACGCAGCCTTTGCTGTCGTTGAATCTGCAATCTTTTCAAACACATTTACATCCACACATTGATAAATGAAGAACAATGCTTTCTGATCCTTCTTCCTTACTTCCTTCTGCGTGTTTTTCTGTTCATCCGTCGCATCTGCTGCTACCGGAACATAACCATCAGTGACAAGATCTAGAACATCTTGAGCACCAAACAGTACACGCATTTGGATCATCCAACGATTCCAGTTTTTACCGTCAAATACTGGAAGTTTGGTGTTCATGTTGCCGTTTCCGTTCATCTTCTACCTTGCACAGTACACTCAGATTTCTCACACAATGTTTCCCAACCCACAAAATTAAAATTCTGATCAGATTTTGTTCAAGATTCAACACGAATCTAAGAAACAAAATCAAACACACAAGGCCTCACGTTCACTCGTGTTTCCCAATGAATCCGAACCGGAGCTCTAGATACCAATTGTTGGTGCAAAGGTGAATATATGATGAACAGAGGAAATATTCTATTAAGAGAATGACGGCTACACAACTCACTTAAACATTACAATGATTGTAACCCTATTTATAAGCTAAAACTAGGGTTACTAGAATAAGATAAAATACTAAAATACCCTCTAACAAACTTAGGGGCTAAGTAATAGTACAACTAAATATGAATTACTTCTAATATCCATATGATCCAACTAGTAATCGACTTATCAACACTAAATAAATAATTAATATTACACATATATGTGTTTGCAATTTGGGAATGCCACTATAGTGTGCATATATCAACGTCAGTGGTAATGTCCTGTTTGGTTATGTGTAAGAGACTATGAGTTGTATAAAAACGACATAGATTTGTGTAAGAACCCGTTCATTAATATGGAATAAAATATAAACTTTATTATAAAATTACATAATACGTTTTGCATTGAGTAGGCTTTATATGCACTCAATACTTAGTACAATCAGTAGGCTTGAAAGAGACAATATTTTTGTTGAGGTCATAACCAACCAAATAATTTATTTGTGCCATGTTTCCAAAGATGCCTAATCCATTTTTATATGGCAGAAATGCAAAGCATTCAACTCCCTTGTATAGGGAATAAAAGACGCCTTGAGGATCTATCTTAACATCCGCGCCTTTAAAATGTGCTGTAATTTGTGGAAAGTTTTGTTTGGATGTGGTATTGTAACAAAGAGGAAATGTATCTGTGTTATCATGAAAACGCGGTAATTTAACCACTTTTTTCATAGCTGATTCCATCTTATAGTAAACGCGATGTGGAAGAATACATGCCGTTGTACCGGAGTCAATTATGATATTATGCGTAGAAGCATTTGTTCCTTCACGTTTAAATCCTTTATACTTTATTCTTTTATTTCCCACGCTAAATGCTTTCATAATTAAGTAGTAATAATCTTTTTGTCTGTTCCCTGCCATTTTGACTATAGGAGTTGAAACAACATTATCTCCGGTAACAACAGCTTGATCTCCAAAATTGAGTTTGCTAGATTTATTAGACCTGCTATTGTACTCATCAATAAAGCAATATGAGAATTTTCCCCCAATTGAAGATCCTAATTGTTTTATTAGTGACGTATCTCCACTTCCAAAGCCAATTACACCTGAATTTGGACCATTATACATTGGTTCACTATTATTATGTCCACATTGTATAACAATTTTAGAAAATGAGACAAAAGATCCGGAGGCAGAATCCAATGTCAGAGTCTCTAGACTAAGATCTCCATATGTATATGATCCATGACCATAATCCAATGTATATTGGCAAGCATCTCTACCATAAGAACAAGAAGTATCTTCCATAGACTTGCATATTCTAGAAGAGCATGGAATATTTTTGTAACTCGAAGATTTTGAAGGTTCAAAAATAGGAGTGGTTTGGTTGTAACATTTACAAGGTTTGCATTGAAGCCAAATTAAGTTACTACCAGTATCTAAAATCTCATAAACCTTAAAGGGTGGGGTACCAACGGAATAACTCATGAGATATTCACCATTATCAGAGGGCATATATGACTCAAGTTTGTTTTTAGTAGAAGAAAGTTCTTTGAAGAAATAATCAGCACGGTTGATTGACCGTTGCACAAAATTGAAATTTCTTTGAAGTTTAGTTTGTGTTGGATTGTAAAGTGGTGATTTGAAAGAATCACGGTGAATAAGCTCGACACTAACACCATTGTTTATTGCATGAGAAATAACTACTAAACAAGATAAACAGATAAAAATAGAAATAAAGGTTAAAAATGGAAAATGGAACATTGTTCTAGATGTTTGAATGAAAACTTGTTCATCCATATTATTTCATTGCTTTATATAAGAGGGAGAATGTAGGAAAAATGAAAAAATAATAACAAGAGAAACTAGAGTAAGAAAAATAATCCCTCCATTTTTTATTTTAAACAAAATTTTAATTTTTAAGTTTATTAAATAATTAATATAACATCAATTATTTAATAAATATAAAAAATAAAAATTACTTATAATAAATAATAATAAAATAGAAAATACCGGTTCAAGCATATATTTAGTATTTTTTGTAAAATAAATATATCTGTTAACTATTATACCTATTTTAAAGATTTGATTTGACTTTTTTGTTTACCAAATAAGATTAATTTATTTTAATTCAATACAAAATTTGAAAATTTTAATATTTAATTGAATTCATGTTATTTTTAAAGAAGGAAACCTTGTATCCATATGATACAACTAAGTAATCGACCAATCCACACTAAATAATTATAATTAATAATTAATATTACACACAAATTGGGAATGTTATTATAGTGTGCATATATCAACGTCAGTGGTAATGTTCTGTTTAGTTAAGATAAGGATGCTTTTTGAATTAAATAATATAATATGGAAAACAAATATTTGATTTGTGTAAATTTAAGGAAAAAACTATTTTAAGAATTCTTTATTTAGTGATAATAACAATTTATAATATATTATTGTATAAGTTTTATTCACTAGTATATTTTAATATTTTGCATTTGATATAATTCCCACTAATGATATTTGATATGATTCTAGCTATGTTTCAAATTTCAATGGTTGTTCTAGAACATTAGAATGTGGACTAATTTTTAGTATAAATACATATAGATTTATAAAATAGAAGATCTACATAATTTCTTACCATTTTGGTATTGAATTGATAATTTGCAAATAATTAACTTTTTTAATTAAATTAAATAGTTATTTTTGATATATTTATATTTTTTATTTTATTCTGATTTGAATTAAAAGTATATACCGTTGAAAATCATCTTTTATAACTAAAACAACTGTATTTGAAAAAGAAAAAAAAATCAATCAAAATTTAGATCTCTTAAAAACTTCAATGGCATATCGTTAGTATTTATATAGAAAATAATTTTTATAATATAAAAACTAAAAAAATGATTTTTACTTAAATTTATTAAAAATAATAATGTCCTTGTTTGGACTGGGTTCATATTCGGCCCAAATAAAACTAATACAATAGTTAGTATACACCCTTTAGTATGTAAGAATATTTATCTCTTTTATATATTACTTAAAAATTATATTAAAAATAAATAAATTACAATTAAATAATTCATCATGTAAATTAGTCTCATACGATATCAAATGTATCCTAATTGATGATTATAACTAATTTACATTTTTTTGAAAAATCAAAAAATATATTATAAAAAAACAAAAATAGTTACAAAAGTAATATCTGACCCAAAATAAATAAATAAAATAAAAAATAAAAAAACGCAAAGAACTACCCAAAATAAAAATCAGAAGAAAAAAAAACTAATTGAATATGAAGTTAGGCAAGTTAAAACGTAAATTTTGTGTAGGTTTTAGTTTTGTTGAAGAACATATCATTCACAGCTTTCATAATCATCATTTCTTTAATCTTTGAGTGCCGCCTTAAGATTATAATTTGAATTAAATATAGAGTTGTCTTTGGTAAAGTTGCAATAGTGAGCTTCCTGACATCACTTTCCAAATTTGAATTGCAAAAAAAAAAAAAAATGATAAAAGCTATTCCTACACCAAAATTATATATTTATATCGTATTTTACCGTTCACCTATATCATGAACAATGAAATATTATTTTATATATATATATATATATATAATTTAAAAATTATTATTTTAATTTTTTTTATATTTTATATTTTTAAATTAAATGACATTGAAATAAAATGTGTGATTTATCAATTTCATAACTTCATTAATCAATCTTGTATATTTTATTAACCAACTTTGTTTGTTGTTAAAAATTATTTTTTATATCTGAACGTTCATTAATCAATTTTATAACTTTTTAAACAATCTTTTATATTGTATTAACCAACTTCATTAACTGTTAAAAATTATTTTTAATATCTGGACGCGTATTAAGCAATTTCATAATTTCATTAACCAATTTTTTACATTTCATTAACCAATTTTGATTTATTACTAAAAATTATTTTTAACATATAGACGTCTATTAACCAACTTCATCACTTCATTAACCAACTTTTTACATTTCATTAACTAACTTTATTTCACTATTTTAAAGGCACTGTTCACGCACTGTTCACGCACTATTTTCGCACTGTTCACGTATTATAAATATCATTTTTTATTTATTTTAAAAAAATAAAAATACTGTTCACCGTATAAATACGATGAACAATGTTTAGTGTAAGGATTTAATGTATAAAAGGAGTGTAGGAATAACATAGCTGTAAAAATAATATGTGTGGTTGTTTATGCTTTTAAATTATAAACCCCGTATATCGAGACTATAGTTCAACATTGGTTTTTTTTCAAAGATTGTTGTCAGAAGGGAGTTTTCCATGGTTAAGCCTCTAAATTGTGCAAGAAGAAGATGGGATGAAAAAGATGAAAAAAGATTTTTTTTTATCGTATTTGGGTCGAACTTTAGTGTCGACAAATGTAGCCTCATAATTTAATAGGAGTTATACATGTTGTAGTTGAAATATGTTCAAGCATACTGTCAAAATATGTTAGTGTTAGATCCAAATTATAGTAGATATTTGATTTCTTTTTAGTAGTCTTTTTAATCGTTTTCATCTAATAGTATTTGATTTAGTAGTCTAATTTGTTTAGTTTCATTTTATTGTGATCCAAGTGAATGGTGTTTGTAATATTGCTGTTAGTGTGCAGGATTGACACTAATAAGAGCACCTTGGGAGACAAGACAAAGCAGTCTGGAGAAGTTGCAAACCAAAGCATTCGCCTGGCGAAGCTCAGCGAATGCCAGCGAATGTTCGCCAGGCAAGTGCTGGCGAGCTAGAGCGAGTAATTCAGAAGTAACTCCCAGACTTAAAAGATAGGAAGTTCGTCAGGTGAAGGTTCCAGCGAAGCTTCGCTACCGTTCGCCTGGCGAAGGTGCTGGCGAAGAAGTGGTAGCTTTCCTCATGCAAATTCCAATAGCAAAACCACCCAAAGTTTGCCTGGCGAGTGAGGCCAGCGAATGTTCGCCTGGCGAGTGAATTGTTCGCCTGGAGAATGCACGATACCTCAGAGGGCGGTTTTCTAGCCAGGGGCACTTTGAAGTGCCAAGTTATTTTTGGTTCGCCTGGCGAATGTGCGCAGACAACACTTCCTTTTTACTTTATTGGTTGCTTTATATAGCCCATACCATGTACTTGGAAAGGTATCATGAATTTTGTAACATAAGAATAGAGCTCTAGAACCCTAAAAACATTAGTTCTTCTTCATTTTGCTATTTGGTGTGCAATCAAGGAGAAGTGGAATCACATCCTTCATTGATTCTTCGAAGTGGATGTTCTTCATCTTCTCCATTTCCTTCTTGTTCAAGCTACCATGAAAATGAGTGGCTAAGTTCTTCTTGTTGTCAAGGTTAGATGTAGGTGATCATCAACCTTTGTATGTAAATGTATTGATCTTCATTTGTATTGTAAACTCTTGGATGATGAATGAATGATGAAAACTTTGCTTTATTGAAAACTCTTTGTGTTGGTTTATGATTGAGAGGATTTTTTCCAACTCTTAACCTAGGTTTTCATCCATCTTTGTTTTTAAGCTAGAGATAGTTAAGAATGAAGATGTTCACTTAAAATGTTAAACTTTAATGTTATCAGTTTGATAGATTGTGTGAGAGATCAACAATGGATCAAAACGGTAAAACCCACAATGTGAGTTAGAGATAATCACATTGGGAGGATGTTGTGAATGAGTTTATTGTCTAGATGGAGTTTATAAATTTTGTTGATTAAGCATATGCATGCAAAGTGATCATTGAAACCTAACTTTGGCAATCTTTCTTTAAATCGTCAAACCCTAATTTTTACCGTTGTTTATAACTTTTTATGCAAGATACCGTTTTTAAAACCAAACCCTTTGTTATTATAAAACTACGAATTTAACAACTGTCGTACGGCGGCAAAATCTTATATTCCCTGTGGAGACGATAACAAAAACCCGACACTTTACCACTGTCCTAACAGTTAGCTTTGTGTTTAAGTTTGCATGTTGAATTGAATCTTTCTTATAAGCCTAATTATTAAGTTAACTTATAGTCTAAGTTAGCTAAGTAGTCTATAAATAAACTAGTTCTCTAATGTTGTTGAGAGGTTAATTGTTGGTATTCACTTGTAATTTTTGAACCCTTATTGAGAAAGTGAATAGTAAAATAGTTTTAATCAATTCTTATTCTTCTTCTTTCTTCTTCTCTTTCTTTTGTAAAACCTAATAGTGTTTCTTGTGTTTGTTCAAGATACTTAATCTTTATCTCATAACTTTGTTCTGTTATTGACGACATTGTTTCAAAACAAAGTATGAGATTGAATAATTTGCCGATGTGAATGATTTCAGTTTATGGCGCTTGAAGATGCAAGCACTTCTTGTTCAACAGGGTTTGTTATAAGCATTGAAAGGATTAGAGAAGATGAACCCTGCTCTATCGGAGAAGGAGAAGATAACAATGGTCGAAAAAGCCCATAGTGTCATTGTATTGAGCCTTGGTAATAAGGTTCTCCAACAGGTTTTAAAGGAGAAAACTACAGTTGGTGTGTGGACGAAACTTGAAGGTTTATACATGACAAAATCGTTGGTTAATCGTCTCTACCTGAAGCAAGCTTTGTATTCATTCAATATGAGTTAAGATAATGTCTTGGTTGAGCAGCTGGATATGTTCAACAAGTTGATTCTTGATCTTAAGAATATTGAGGTCAAGATTGATGATGAAGATCAAACATTGCTATAGTTGTGATTTTTACCTAAGTCTCATGCTCACCTC